TGCTCCGGGCACGCATGGCGCCCGCACACGGAGTCTGACCTGATGTAGACGCAAGGGGGTTAATATGAACGTCCCTCTCGGTGGAATCTGGCTCTGGCTCCCTCTGCTCTTGACCTGGCTCGCCCCTGAGGTCAGCTCTTCATGGTGGTAAGTCCACGCATATGGGCGCGGTGCTGATGGATTTTTGGAGATGGGAGTGGGGACCCTACTGGTGGCATAGACCTTCCTTGGCTGTTTCCCAGTCCTGGCAGTTGTGGATTCTGGAGCAACACGGTCTTATCACAGCATCCTGAGCCTAACCCCTTTGCTTTTCTAAAAACCCATTTTAGCTTTGACAACTCAAAAAAAAAAAAAAAAAATCCCATGCCCACAAATGAGAGCTCTGATGTTTGGTTGTTTGGACCCAGCTGAGTGACAGCAAAAGCAGCCAATATCTTATTCCCCTGAGAAATGTGTTAGCCTGCTCTCTAAGTGTAGTGCAGATGTGTGTGTGTGTGTGTGTGTGTGTGTGTGTGTGTGTCATGTGTTAGCCTGCTCTCTAAGTGTAGTGCAGATGTGTGTGTGTGTGTGTCTGTGTGTGTGTGTGTGTGTGTAAGAGAGAGAGAAGAGAGAGAAAGAGAGCTAGAATTCACCTTGAAAACTACAACTGCCACCCCCACATCCTAAAAAGAAAAAAAATAAATATATCTCAAGAGAAATCAGTCCAGGCAGTTGGAGTTGTAGAACCTGAAGCTTGTGATTTTGTATTATTTCCTGGACTTCCACATTCCTGACGCTTCACCCTCAGTGAGGCAGCATCCAGGTAGGGACTATTGCCTGGATGCAAAACTGCTGGATCGGAGTTGCTGCCCCAAGATGCTGCCCTACTCAAAACTGTCTTCCTAAAGAGTAACTAGGCTGCTGTCTTTGTATGCTGATCTATGATTTATTTTGCATATTCTCTGCCTATCCAGAAATCGTCTCCATCTCTCAACTTTATGACCTTGAAAAGAGATGGAGTTGAGAGCTCTGTAACTTTCTTGTATGTAGAGGACCAGGGCAGATATTAAAGTACTCTGATACCAATTCAGAAAGATTGGCTATCCCCCACACACATCCTTTTGTATTGGACAATGGTAAGGATCTCAGCCAAACTCAGGTCAAAGCCAGTGACTATTTAGACATCCGAGTGTCTGAGGGAAACAAAGCACTGATGATGCTAAGGGGTGGAGGGTCAGCTCCTTCCTAAGTGACTTGAACAGGGAGCCCTTTAGCCTTGACATTGCTGACATGCAATCAAAGAATGATTTATCAGATTGACCATTCCTTCAATAAAATGATTATTTCTGTTTCTGCATGTGTATAAATATTATTTATTGCTCAAGCATTTTGTCACATTGTCTCTCAGCTGTCACTTAGATGGATATTTTTAAGTCACAGCTGTAATAATTTTATAACCATATAAAACAATGGCAATGCAAAGAAAAAGATATTCCCCTTGTTTGGTCACTTCAAAAGACACCTATGGCAGCTTGAGTGGTATAAAAGGTACTTTTCCAAGTGTTTCACAACTAATGCAGAGCATCTGCCTAGAGATAATGGTGTAATTTTTGTTAAAGTTTCTTTTCAGAGCGTACTTTACAGAGTTATAGTGCTGATTCTTCAAATATTTAATGCTCTTGATAACAATAGAAAGATTTTTCCCCCAACAGTTTCTATAAGTGCCCAAAAAAGGGGGGGCTAGAAAATGAAACCATTTTAAGGATTCTTTAGTGTGGAAAGAATGGCATGTTTGTAAGAAGGTAGCATCCGATCCCAGCAGGTGCTAATAGGATAGATGCTGGCAGTTTTGAAGACATTTAGGTCAGACAAATGGGAGTGAGGAACTTCTAAAGGTCAGCTTCCTCCAAAGCCAAAAGCAGACATATGGCATTCACTGAGAGCGGAGAGTTCTTTGAAAGTCTTTCTGTGTTCTCCCAAGCACACTGCCCCCCTTCAGCTCCTATCTTCACAATGCTACTGCCTCTGCCTCCCTGTCCAAAGCATCATTTGGTGGCTCCCACTTTGGGAGATAGTCACCACTCTATTTGGAAGTAGATTGACCAGGTCATCAGCCATGCTGCAGCACTGAATGAAAATTAAATAGCCCCCTGCCTTCTAGTGTTAGCAGAGTATAAGTAATTCAGACTCAAACAGTGCTTTGAATGCTGGTCTCCTGGGCAACACCAAGCTCTGGTCACATTACTTTTGCCTTTCTGGTGGTTTCTCACAGGTACATGAGAGCTACAGGTGGCTCCTCCAGAGTGATGTGTGACAATGTGCCAGGCCTGGTGAGCCGCCAGCGTCAGCTGTGTCACCGACATCCAGATGTGATGCGTGCCATTGGCCTGGGTGTGGCTGAGTGGACAGCAGAGTGCCAGCACCAGTTCCGCCAGCACCGCTGGAACTGTAACACCCTGGACAGAGATCACAGCCTCTTTGGCCGGGTCCTCCTCCGAAGTAAGTCTCCTACCTTCACCCAGCTCCCGACTCCTGGCCCTCCTTGTACCAGTGCTCAAAGCCTCTGCTCGCCCTTAGTGGCTTTCTGTTCAGTGAGTCTGTGCTTTGGGGTAGCATCATCTCCTTCCAAAGATGAGACTTGTATCAGTCAAGGAACTGTCTCAAGTCTATACGCTGTTGGTGGAGCAGGTTGAGAAACTATGGGCTGAAGGATTGCAGGCTGGTGTCCTTTTGTCCTTCGCTCTGTCCATCACTTCAACACTGCGTGACCATTTGGGATCAAATGTGGTCTCTGGAAAGAAAGAAGCAACCACAGGACGCTTTTGACTTTTTTTTTTAATGTCTTTCTGAGGCTTGAACCTTTAGAGGAATTTGATCAAGATAGTATGTTCAAATCTTTTTTTGACTTAAAATACACTATGAAAATTTTGTGTGTAGAGACAAATCTCACCTCAGTACCTTTGACCTCTCATTTGACTAGCTAGGTCAGGGTTGCTCTGCATCTACTTTCTGTTTTCCATAAAAATGTAAATTCCACCAGGGCAGGGACTAGCCTGTATTTTGTGCACTTTGATTGGTACCTGTGTGTCGTAGGTTCCATTCATTTGTTACGATGAATGAGTAGGTAAACGTGTACCGAGAACCTATTGCTTTTCTACCTACATTTTAGACGGCAAACATGTTCATGTATGGGGACTAAGGACCCTGAACACACAGGTTTCTTTTTCTATTAGAGGGAGACTTAACTCCTTTTTCTAATTAGATAAAGGGGACCTTTAAGTGTCTGAATATTGAAAGAAACTCAAAGCTAGTGGTTTATTCTCACATAATCAGAGAAGATAAATTGAAGTCAAGATATGCTTTCAAATAATATCCATCCATTGAGCTGGCAGGAGTAGCATTCTTCAAGAAATAACTGTCCATTTGTGAGTTGGAAAGCTGACTAGAAATACAACAGTGTATGCGCAAAGACAGAAACAGAGAATTTTACACTTGTTTTTGCCCACCCCACTCCCTCCTATTCCCAGGGAAATCATCCAGGCTGTGCACTTGGTAATGCTTAACAGAGGGTGTTTCTATCATGTCATCATCATAGCCCTAGGGTTTTATGAGGCCAAATGCATAAATGAATGTCTCGAAAATCCCCCAAGGGCGTAGTACTCTCACTCTTAGAGTATCCCTAAAGTTAATTTACTGTGATACTCTGCAATTTTATTCTCTAGTTTAAGAACTATATTCTTATGCATTCCTTTTAGAGTTTCGATATGACATCGCAAATTTTTGAAAGGATAATAGCAAATGTCAGCCTCGTGGAATTTTAAGACTTCACCTAGATTAGTTCACCAGTAAATCAATTAGCGCTGGACCTTGTCAAAGAGAATTTGCAAATATCCATCACAGGCTGTGTTGTTTGTAGATTTTTCCCTGATTAAAATAGATCAGGAGTTTCCAGTGGTTTTAAATTAGAGGAACTTCCCATTTATGCAGTGATAACCTGTAGCTCCATTAAGTCCTTTGCTTGTAAAGGGGTGAAGAAAAAAAAAAAAACCAAACAGCCTTTAGATCACAAATGAAAGGAAGCAATTTAAATGTTTAAATGAATAATTACTGGGCAGGGGTGGGGGTGCGTGGAGGTAGGGAGATGAGTTTCAGGATTGGGTTCCCTCTTTCCACTGTGCTTTCCAGACAGTCAACTCAGCCTTTTCTTGCTGAGCCTTGACACTGACCTAAAAGGAAGTGGCTTCAACAAACAATCCAAACGATGGCATCTCGGCCAAAGCTGGAGATGCTTTCATAGAACACTTGGAAGTCACTGAGTGGAAAGAGATGGTGATGGGAGAAAAACTGAACTAATTGCCTTGGCTATGGCCTCAGGTGAATAAGGGTTTCCAACTGGGACTTCCTACAGATGATGCTGAGAACTTCCCCAAGGTGCTCAAAACTTAAAACCCTCACAGCGAGTGAGTGGTTTCTTTCTTTACACTCTTCACAGAAGGCCAACTTCTTCCTAGACATCTCTGCAGATCCCTGCAACTGTCAGTGATGATTTTTTCATTGCTTTGCAGAGGGCTGAATTTGGCCTATAGCAGCAGCTTATCCTGGAAATAATCAGGAAATTCCAATGAAGTAATCCACAGGCTTCTTGCAGTTAATTACTTAGAGGGATGTTTCAATCTACAGTTGTGAAGAACTCTGTGTTAGAAACCTTAATATACCTTTAGGTGATTGGGGAAGATGAAGGGTAACACTGCTGTAGGGAGATTATTGCTGATGCTAAAATCTTCCACGATTACACAGAAGTGGAGAGCAATTGCTTTGTGTGCCCTAGAGACCCAGAGTGAAACAGCATGACTTTTAAGAACATTTGGAATTTACTCTTTTTCACAGGTAGTGAAAAACCCCAATACAGTCTTTTAAATAGATACCTCTGAAATTCTAGAATAGGCTTAAAAAACAAAAGGTGATTAGGGCCCATCCTTGTAGGTTTCAAGAGGAAAAGGCAAAAGAAAAGTAAAGTAGGGATAAAGGAAAGCATTTTTTAAGAGACGGACAATCCATGTCCCTCAAGAAACCATAGCTCAGTGTTCTGCCTTTCCAGGTGCAGTCCTCCTAACCCAAACAAACCCTGCCTTGGTACCAAGTTGACATTGCTCAATACATCTCAATCCCAAAATGATGGCCGCTTCAACAGCAACATTCCAGGAAGCGTCCACATCACCATTCAGATTTGGGTTTCATTTCAGGTGTGATGACCTGAAGAAAAACCAGTTTTTCTAAGAAACCCATGATCACATTTTGGTTTGTTATGAAGCCAGCTCTCAAAATGTGCTAGTATTTCACACACATCACCTAAACATTTAACTGGAGACGCCATCCCACAACATCTAGAGGTAAAACAAAAAGTCACGTAGTAATAGCTAGACATTAATGAACGTATTTGACTAATAACAAATATTCAGAAAGATGGTTTTTTTCTTCAGAAATGGTTTTTGAAGTATAGAAAATTACTTGTTTTTTTTTTGTTGAGTCAACAAGTTAATGTGATTTTTTAGGAGTTGCAGGAGAATTGTGCAACTTCAAAACCCACTCTAGTGCTTTTAAAATACTGTGAGTTTCTAAAACGCTACGATCCATGTCTTCCATGCTTTTCCTCAAACTGTAAGATTAGTGGTAAATACATTAAGCATGTATGATTACTTCCCCTATCTGGTGATTGTAAATATGGACACTGGACTCCAAATCCCAAAGCAGACTTGCAATGATAAAAACAGATAACTCTCATGATAAAAACAAATATATAAGGAAGGTGTTATTTATCTAAAAGCCAGTAGATAAAATTAAGCCACATAAGTCACCATGTCTCAATTCCTCTTTGCCTATGTTTGAGCTTTATAGCATAAGTTGGGACTTTTGAAATAGTTCCTGGGAGCCCACAGTCCTCTCTCTGGAGCACTGCTTGCTACCTGTGGCAAATACTCATCTAAGTGATTATCCATGGAAGTAACTGTTACCCTTTTTGATGATTAGGGTTTTGGAGAGAGATATTCCTAAAAGGCTGAGGTAAGTACCATTCTGTAGTGTAGCTATGTGTTCCTGGTTTTTAATAATGAGACTAGCAATGCAAATTTTGCAAGGGATGCACTGAAAGCTGCAGCACAGATTGACACGTGGAAACGAGTGAAGTTTCAATGCAATAAAGTAGCCCGTTCTCCCAGCTGTGTGGTTCAAAAAGTCACACTGGTCTTGACAGATTGAGTCACTGAATGGTTCTCTGCTCTCTGCCTTGCATTGGCATTAGCTGGTCCAGCTTCTATTTTGATTGTTAATATATTTGCTGCAGCAACCATTAATAAAACACTATGCTAATAACAATGAAATACAGTTCTACTTGAAAAATGAGGTGCACACCGACCCCAAAGAGCCTTATATCTGTCACTCTACCACAGCACTGTGTTATGAGTTACTACAGATTATTAAAATAATTTAATGTAGTTATTGCACTGAAATATGTACCTCTCAGCCTGTAAGTGAAAGTGGGCTGCTCTCTAATAAAGAACAAGTCTAAGAAAGCCCCCAAAGGGTTCTTGCACAAGTCTAATTATAGGCGGTAAATTTGTTTCTTTCCAGAAAAACCAAAGGAAAAGCTTTTCACTGTCTCTGACCCGATACCAATGATTAGTGCAGGTGTTCCAGAAGAAAGGGAAATCACCTTAGTAGTTAGACACCGTATACAACCCAAGGATATTGCATATCACCTTCAACAATCTTCCAATTACTTGTGAAAGTTGATGGCAAGCCAGCACTCCAGCGTTAATGCCAGGGGCTGGTGGCTGACTGAATTCTCCTTCCACTCTAGCCCTAAGATTTGCTTGATTTCAGAATTTCACTGTCTGTAAGTTAAATTTGCCTTAGTGTCTTCAGTAATGCCTAGAGATGTGGGAGGGTGCTTGTTTGCTCTAGCTTCCAACTCTTGAGTTCAAGAAATCTTCCAGCCCAGCCTCTGGAGTAGCCAAGACTCTAGTCACATGCAACAGTGTCTGTCTTGACAGTTTTTTTCCAAGCTGTGATATCATGACTTCTACACCATACAATGGAATGAATGATAGAAGAGCTGTAGAATCCAGACTGTTTTATAGATGGGGAAATTAAGGTGACTCATGCCACTGGAACATGTTTCTGGGACATCTAGGGTTGGGGGTGAACGTGATTTGCTCAAAGCAGGAGCAAGCCCATCTTTTATCTTTTCTACTCTGTATTTAAGGAGAGTTGGACATTAGATATTTAAATGGACCCAATCCTACATTAAGTGCAAGTGACTCAAGTTAAAGAAATAGGCGGGGATCTAGAAAAGAATCCTTGGACACCATAGGAAATGATATGCCAAGCAGCTCACCCTATGACAGCAATGAGGAACACTTGAAGAGAAGCTCTCTGACCACTTTTAAGAAAAGCATTTTTATTTCAGGTAGTCGGGAATCTGCCTTTGTTTACGCCATCTCCTCAGCTGGAGTTGTATTTGCCATCACCAGGGCCTGTAGCCAAGGAGAATTAAAGTCCTGCTCCTGTGACCCAAAGAAGAAAGGAAGTGCCAAGGACAGCAAAGGCACCTTTGACTGGGGTGGCTGCAGTGACAACATTGACTATGGGATCAAGTTTGCCCGTGCATTTGTAGATGCCAAGGAAAGGAAAGGGAAGGATGCCAGAGCCCTGATGAATCTTCACAACAACAGAGCTGGAAGGAAGGTAGGAATCGCTCTCCTGCTCACTTGAGGGCCCCGTGGCCTGTGACTCATTGAGATAGAGCTTATCTTCCAATTTCTGAGAGTTAACTAAAGACTGTGCAGACACAGCTTCCCACTAACCACCCCCCTGCCCCGCCCCATCCCCAGCCCAGGGCCACTTGTTCTGAAGAGTACCACCAACTGGGCTGAGACATCCCCAACCACGCCCCACCTTCTTTCCCACAGCTGAGTTCGAGGAGTACACACCATTGCCTTGAGCAGTATAATGAGTCAAGTAGTTTATGATCCCTCTGGATAGTGTGGAGTCCAGGCAAGAGGTATCATCTGCCAGAGAGTTCTTCATCCCGAAAAGCAATAGTATATTGAATACTTATATGGTGTATCAATACTCAGAGAATTTTCCCCCAATATTCCATGAAAGCAACCCACCAAGAATGGTGGGTAGGCTTCTCCTGGTTATAGGGGTACTCTCTTTTGAAGCCAGACCCAGCACTAGCTATAACCACCACCACCCTTTTTTTGTTACTGGCAGAATAATAGAACCAAAGAACGCTCTTATCCTTTTATCTGGACAAAACTCCTAGTCCATAGGAATCTGGTCTGCAACCACCTTCAAACACCCATTTGGTGCATAAGGAAACAGAAGTCCCCAAGGCTATCCACGAGTCGGGCAGAGGGCAGGATTAGAACTCAGGTAAACTCCTAGGCCAAGGTACTTCAACCTAGTATTACACTGCTTCAATGCCTCTGGTCAACGCATTAATAAGGTAGGACTGTTTAGGTGGCAGCTTGGCCAAAATAACAAGAGAACCAGGATGTGGTTATCTGTGCCTTTGGGCAGAAAGCAGAAACTGTCTGAGATAAACAAATGTTTGGTCTGAATCACTATAAGATAATCTAACTACCAAAAGAAACAGCTATAATTTGTCTTTTGTCAATAAAACACCAAATCTACCTGATATTGATTTGTAAAAAAAATAAATAGATAAGTAAAAGATTGAAAGGTGTGAAGGAGGGACTGATATGGAAAGGCATAGAAATAGAAAAAGGAATACAGCTCTGCTGGGGTGAAATCTTTTTATTGTGCTCCTGCAAAGAACAAGTCTCATTTAAAAGAAGTTAGAGAAATGGGGACTCTTACTTAGCACATGAAATAGGATGAGTGTGGCCTAAGCTGTTTATAAATAGTACCTTTTTTGAACTTAAACACTGGCATTTTTTATTTCCATGAAGTTGTGAGCTGATAGTGAACACTGCCAAGAGTATAGACTCTGCTTGAGCAACACTACAGTTGGTAATTGCTGCTTGTGCAATGATTTAGATAAAAAAATATCTATACTGACCTTTGTTTTGACATCGATTGAGCACATTTAAGTTATAAAATGTGGTGTCTCGGATAGGAGTGCACTTGCTTAATTCTTTGAATGGGTATTTTAACTAGATTCCTCTGTTTGCAAAGATAGGTTATATGACTCTATATGACTCTACATTGTATTCCAAAGAGTGTCAAGTTATTAAAATATATATTAAGTTTTTATAAAAGTTTATTAGACAATGAATAGCTCTAATCTTCAAAACAATAGATCTTAGCTATATACTAGGTCCTACATAAACAAGTGTTTTAACGTAAATCACATGATTGTTCACTGTGTAGATGTGAACAGCTGTCGGACCTCAGATATTCTCCTGCCTGCTCCATGAAACTTAGGAGGCTACTTTTGATTGGAATAAAAGTGCACACACTGACTTTTTAAAATGTGGCTTTAATTAATGGTGGGTGGGCAGCCTTTTTCAAGGAGATGCATGATGTCAGTGAATATGAACTTTAATGAGAGTAAATGTATTGAGATAAACATGCGTCTCTAATTCTCTCCTTGCGGTCATTAGGCCCCCAGTACCAACTCCCCCTTCTTACAAGTAGAAGGCCTGTGGACTCAAAATGAGAACAGGCTGGGCTCGTGTTTGAAGGCAATCCTCCTGAGCTAAGTTTCCAACTGGCCCAGCTCTAGAAAACCCCAGCCTCCAAGGACTGACAGGAACATCAGTCCAGGTTTTTCCTTCTGTTGCTTTTTAGTGTTTTCCAAATTGTCTGATATGAACCCCATCTACTTTTAAAACTGAGAGTAAAGGTGGGGGGCAATATATTTTATTTGAAAGAATAGTCATATGTTCCAAGACATATCTGTTTAACCAATACTAAGTTGCAACTCAGCACAGCCAACCACGTAAGACCTCAATTTACCCTCATAACTACAGTTTAATTAATTTATTATGACAGCTGGTTAGAGCACCCTCATGTGTTTCTCGTCTGTAATACTGTCAAAGTCTGCATTATTCATTCTAACCATTTTCAAAAGACTTTATAATTATTTTTCTTTTTTCATGTTCACTTGAGGTTTGTCTTTCATTGAGTCTAGTTTTCTGGTCCCAAATAGAATTAGGAAGTAAGTTCACCTGGTTCAAGAATGCTCCCTGCCCCCAGTTTCTCCAGGTTGTGAGTCTAACAAAGCCATGCTGTGAAGACTTGCAAGTTATATTAAGACAACTTTTAGTGAATGACCAGCAAACGATGTCTGATCAAGAGCTACCAGGTTTGCTCTCTTTCATGAGCATGCAAGGGGCTTTTCAGTGATTCTATACTTTTTCTAAGAAAAAATAATCACAAGTTCATTAAATTTGCTTAAGAGAATCTGAATCAAAATAATCTTTCAATCTAATCAAATTCTGCTCCTCAACAACTCTAGCAATTTCCCTAAGAATATGAATTTCCATAACAGAATTCAATAAAACTATTTTCTACAAAACATGTCAGACCTTTGGTGTATAGTAGGTGCTCAGCAGAAGTCACTTTTCTGCTAGTAGAGCCAACTTTGTTTATAACTCAGGTAAATGAAGCTGGCCAAAACCCAACATGAACTGTACTTAGGGTTTAATCAGCTATTCTGTCTTCAGACTCATCTTCTATACAATCCAATGTACTAATAAAACAGACATAGTTTTGCTAATTTATAACGTCTTTTTAAATGTTTCATAGTAGGATCTTCCCAAGTCCCATTTAGGGCTAAGAAATAGCATGAATATTTCTAATTCCAGGTGAGAAATTGCCCACAAGAAGATACGTGGGCCAACCTAGGGTCAGATGATAGTAAGAAGCTAGGCTTAGGGTTCACATACAGTTGTGTCTGACTATTTATTACTATAAGTATTGCATCATTTTATTACGATAGCATGTTGCTTTTATTGCTATAACTTTTGTACTACAACCTGAAATCTAGGATAGTGATAGACACAAAAGTCTTACCTCTAATTAAAGAGGTGTTTACAATTGATACCTGCTGGAAGAGGGAAAATCAGTTTTCATCAATATAGAGACACTGGATCTATCAACCACACTCCAGAAAAAGCCTTGTGCTCAGGAATAGTTGAAAGATATAAAATGGTCTCTATGCAAATTGCTTTTTTTTTTTACAAAGAAGACTCCTAGGTAGCGATTGATTTTAACAGGGAAATGTTGTCTTAGTGTTGAAAACATGGCTTTGGGTTATTATGAGCTCCACTTAAGCAACTTGATCTCATTTGAGAGATTCACAGAATTTCAAAAAATGACACACAAGTCTGGAAGTAGTACATGTTACTGAAAGCACTGTGTGTCACTTAAGTCACAAGAGGACTTATCAAAGCCACCTGAACAAACACATTTGGGAGTATTTGGACAGATAAGAAAACGAATATGAAAAAGTACATGGCCACAGGAATAACATTTAGTCAGAGACATGGTGGCATTTAAGTACAAGACAAGCTGCCTTAAGGGATGTACTAAGGTAGTGTTAGCTGAGGAGATAAATCACACACACACACACACACACACACACACACACACACACACCACATGAAGCATACAAGCTAGAGATAAGAGATTTCCCATAGAGAAATGTCTTTCAGGATTAATGGCATGTTAAACATCAGGTGAGGAGTGACCAGGGTGCCACAGAGGAGCTACTGACAGAGTTAATGGGACCCAAAGCTGGACATGTATCTTTGTCACATCTAGGGATCTTTGAATACTATGACAAGACATTTGGATGCCACTGGAAAGACGGCATACTTCAGTTCAATTTCTATGCATTGTTTCAATTCCTTTTAAGTCTACTTTGAAAGAATAATGGACATGAAAGTTCAAACCTTTTATAATGTATTGAATTAATGATTAAAAATTCAATTTATTAAGAAAATTGGAAGATTTCCTCTAGGCCCTTGAATTTAATGACTAGTCTTAAGTATCAATGTCAGAAGTGTTATAGTGTGCTACTGATATTAATTAGCTACAAAACAGAGCATTTGAGCTGGGCTGTGGTGGTACACACCTTTAATCCCAGCACTTGGGAGACAGAGACAGGTGGATCTCTGTGAGTTTGAGGCCAGCCTGGTCTACAAGAGCGACAGAGAAAACCTGTCTTGAGAAAACAAAAGCAAGCAAACAAACAAAAACCCCAGAACATTTGGCAACTATGTTGATATTAACTTTTGCTGTGGATGGTGATCCTGAGCAGTTTCTAGCTAGAGATGTCATCTTGACTGGGGCAATAAGAAGGCAAGATTCTCTAGTACTTGAACACAACCATGACAGGCTCACCACCTAGCATTGCCATGGAAAACAAGATGCCCATTACATATGCACCGGATTTCAAGAAAACCTAAAAGAGTTAAGTACATTTTCGATGTGAGGAAATGTGAGTATAATAAAATAGTCAGAATCAGGACACAAACTGGCTGTATTTATGAACTGAAGTAATCTGAAATTCCTAGTCCATTAGTACCCTGCGTTGTGTAGGGAACAACCTTCTGGCATGAGGGACTCCAGCCTTCTGCCCAAATGAGTACCAGGCAAAGACTGAAAAGGGAGAGGACCAAGGTCCCTCGGTGGCCCGGCTGGAGAGCCAGGACACAGCAAACACTTTTACAGCATCCACAGGAAATGCCTCCAAATTAACACAAAATCAC